GTGGTAGACTTAGACGCATTACTTGAGTTTGGAGATTTGCCGGCAAGGCCGCATCACCTGGTGGCCCTGGCACAACCAGAGGAGCCAACTTCCACATAGAGGGTGACAGTTTCTTCTCGGGACCCTAAGTCCACAAATGACATTTGGCAGTTTACACCTTCAGGGAAATGGCTAATAGGTCAGCTTGACAGCTCATGGACCGGCTGCTAGGAAACCGGTCGCAATACAATGTACAAGGGATCTACCAGCGGATGGTGTTCTTTTTCGTATTTTGGTGTGCCTTGACAGTTGGCATCTTCATTAATCCGTCTACTGACACTTCTCACAGTTGGAAGCTCCATTTAGGATGGCTTTTGGATTTGTTGGCTGAGCATTAAAACAGCAAATAAGAAGCCTCCTGTCATGTTATAAAATTGTAGATTATGCTAGCTTTAGTTTACCTATAATCTTAATTTTATTACTGACAGAAGGCGAGTATTTCCCACCCGTTCTTATCCCTCCCTTGTTTAGTTTATAGTTTGGGTTCATCAGGTACGTATGCAACTCTGCTTGTTGTCTCTGCTACCTGTCACTCGTTCTTATGTCTGTTTTTCATAAGTAGGGTTGGGATCTATGCAGGTTACGGTAATTTTTGGTTGCTATATTGGGTACCTACATGTTGTTCAAAGTACATTTCGTTGGATAATCAACCTGTTCGATTCTGTTTTTCTCTCGTTTCAGTTTACAGTTCATCAACGCTATCTGGTCTGGCAGTTCTTCTCGGATGGTGGACACTGCTGTATTCATCGTATCTAGGACTTTGTTTCTTCCCCATTATGTTTTCTGCCATTTATTCTGTTTTTGTCGCAGCTTGAAAGATGAAATGATGCATGGGGAGGGGAGTTTTATAGTAACTAAATTTTTTCTGATTGGTTGTTTTTCTGTGCTGCTGTGCAGTTCTAGTAAAGAGAGACTTAAGCAAATACTCGCCTCCTGTCATTAATAAAATTAAGATTATAGGTACACTAAAGCTAGCATAATCTACAATTATATGGCCAGGAAGTGGAATGTTTTTAGTTAGGGAGTGAAATTATAGGGCCAGGAAGTGGAATGTATTAGTTAGGGAATTAAATTAGTTAGGAAGTGAAATGATATGGCGAGGAAGTGGGATCCTTTAAATAGGAAGTCAAGTTATATAGCCAGGAAGTGAACATGTAGGTTTATACACTCAGGAAGTGACAGTAGATGGACAGGAGCCTGCTAACGCTTACCCTCATAATCCGTATGTTGAATGATTGAATTGTTTTCTCGTTGTGCAGGTCTGATTCGCTAACTGCATTTTTAAGGCTTTGCGTGGCTCGAGTATAATCCCCTCGGGCAGAAGCAAGCCAGTCGAAAGATAGCCCCTTGGCCTGTAAATAAGAGGGGAGATGTTTATACCTGTTGTTTGGTTCTTGGAACCCATTTTGTTGTTTAACTTTTCTCTTGTCTTTACTCTGTCACCCATAACCACCCTTTATTTCACCTAGATCTGTTGTATGGCCCCCTAACCTTCAGCTTCTTGCTGTACTGATTCAGCTCCATGACATGTTGGAGCAACATGTTGCTGTATTCAATATAGTCCAACGGTAAGATTTTGTCATGAAGGAGTTTAATCAGCGAGAGTCCGGCCACTTCCAATACACTGAAGGCTACAGCAGGCAACCTTCCGTCCACCACTTTATTCAAAGAATCGTAAGTGTCCTTCTTAGTGTCCAGGTACTTGTAGGGATTTAAACCCTGAGGAAATAGACAATTTAAGAACATGGTTTGGTTACCAGACACCGTTTCATCTACATGAGAGCAGCGAAGAGCAAGATGGTGATTGATAAACATTTCGCATATTGTCTCTGTATTGACGGTCAGGGTTGAGGAATTTCTAATGTTTGGGAGTACTAAAGTTTGTTGCCTGGTGTAA